TTTACCACATGGATAGACATTTTATATTCTTGTTTCCCGAGAAAGCATTATTTTATATAAGTTAAAATGCTGTTTATGACGAGTAAATTGCACTGCTGATACATATTATGGAATGTGTCTGACTGCTTTTCGATATTTCATTTAGTACCGTTAAACTGCCATGCTAAATCTTTAAGACCAATATCAGCCCATGATGAAATCCTGAGACCAACCAAATCCCTAGAAACCAACATTTGAATATCAATGAGATGCTCACTTACAGCTGACCCCATCTAGGTAGGTAATTACCTGAGTTCTAGTTGGAAGTCGTGATCAGTGGGGTACAGCAGGTCGGGTGAGAGGACAAATACTCGCCTCATATTACATTGGCTAGTTATCGCGCTATCTTGTGAATTGGCAGAAGCTGAAATTCATGGGCCATTTGATCGAGTCCCAGTGGCTTGATGGTCGACGAGCATGCCTTGCAAACCGAAAGGTCATTGCTTAGAACTTCGGCGGGTACGGAATGATGAGGAGTCTCAAAAACTAGGACGAAATGGCTGTCCAGTACTTCCAGCTTTTACAATAGTTCTCTAGCCAATGTCAGCTCCTGATGAAATCCTGGATAAAAAAATTGTATTCGCATATGAAGTAGTTTGGCGGAAAGCTTAAATGCCTCAACAATGCTTTTAGTATGACCCATAACTCAGCTTATCGATAAACGCATCGTGATAGTAGGACGGAATGAAATTTAGCGTGCAAACAGTATTTCAGGTAACGTGTCAATGCTATTTTCACACGAAACATTATTTAAAATATTTAAAAAACTGGATATGGTCATCAGTGGTTCTACAGAATGAATGGAAAATAAATCTAGAAGTTAAAAGTTTGGTAAATGTTCTCACATTTGAAAGAATAAACGCTAAAGTGAAAAACAAACAAACAAAAAGTATTAGATTATCCACACTTAAAAGCATACAGTGTTCAGTCCCAACTGACTTATATACAGCTATTGATATATCATTTAGATACTGTTGTAGTAAAGCTTCAGTACATGATCGTGATCGAGAATACGAATACATCTTTTGAAATAATCTACTGTAATACAATGAGTTACTATTGAACCAACCTAATCCGGTCATAATTATTCTACCTAAATCTTTAATCTGTAGGAAGCCTATAGTTTATTCAAAACAGGTTAACCATAAGTTAACGCCTTAACGCATATCATTTACTCAATAACTCATAAACAGTTAACTGATTAACAGGAAACAATAAAAATACACTAAAATGACCTCATATGTGGCAAAATAGGTTGAACGATGAACGTACACAAACAAGTCAGGCATGTGTGTTTAACTAATGAAACGCAATTTAAAAACTATAATTTAGGGAATAAACTCTTTTTGACTAGATTCTATGTTACTTATTCATGTGGTTGCATTTCACATGTAATGAGCGTTTAGCCTTATGCTGAAAATCCATCATACCTTTTCTGATTACGAGCAAAAAAAATAGCTTTTGGTAATAGTTTCAACTTTTTGAAAGGTGTTTAAAGAGTTCTCCTGACTTGACGCAAAGAAATGAAGGCGTGCAGGAGAAAATGGAGGTGGATCGGGCATACAATGAGGAGGCTACCAAATGACATCGCACGCCAGGCCCTCGACTGGAATCTCGATGGGAAGCGACGAGCGGGTCGTTTTAAGGTGACACGGAGGAGATTGTTTGATGAAGAGATGAGAAATTTGGTCAATCGTGGACCCAGCTAAAGAGGACGGCAGAACAAAGTGGAGATCTGTTGTTGAAGCCCTATGTTCCAATCGGAAGGTAAGGGAATAATAATACAATAATTTCTTCAGTTTTAAACCTCAAGTAAGCTACTGTACTAATCACATGAGTCGCTTCTCCTATTCTCAGTAGTTGCTGGGATTTGATAGGAATTAAACCAAATAAAACGTCTAATAAAACTAAATTTATCTACATCAGGTGCATTTTTGTTTCATTCGTTAAAAGACAACCGATTCTTAATGACCAGATAACGTAAGTTTTAGCAATCGTTTTTCCACATTGAATTATAATAACTGAGTAACCTATGTTTTTTGAAGCTCAGGTGTACACAGTATGCATGGCAATCACACATTTAACTGTAGTCAACTCGGGTTGTTTACTTTCCATTCTGAATTAAATACCTTTTAGAATTAACATTCCATTAGGCAGTATAAAGTCTATGTGTCTGAATGATGGATGAAAGAAACTTTCTTCTAAACAGTGTAACATTTTATAATTTTACGTTTTGATGTCGTTTGACATGTATCAATCCACGCGCGTTTCCAAATCCAAATTTGCAAAACAAATGACATGATAAAGCTGTTAGTTAACTAAGTATAAAACATGAATAATGTTGTGAATTATAGGTTACGTTTAACTCACATGCTTACACTCTCTGATAAGATCAGTATATTAATTTTTTTTCATTTTTACCCTCACTGATCGTCTGTGATATAAATCTTTGTATGAATAAAATTACATCAATAATAACAAACTTTTCAAGTATTAGATTTGTAGGTTCTTTTTTGATTGCATGTAGGATTTCATCATGAGCTGCGTACTGATGAAGAGGCCCAAACTAGGACGATACAGTTGTTCAGTACTCCCAGGTTTTCCAGTGGTTCTCTAACTGATGTCAGCTCACGATGAAATCCTCCAATAACAAAATTGTTCATAACCGAAAGTTTACAAAATGTTTCTCTACTATACAATGACCACATTCGTCCACATCAATTTCGACCCCGCCTTCTGATTCCATAGTGCACTTTTATTATATCTAGTTAGAAGTAGAATATACACATTTGTTTATAGACCCTGAGATCACTCATAAGATAGCGTACGGTTTATTTTCTCTGATATATAAGCATATATTTTAGACACTGAGAGGCAACTTTTGTTGCACACCTTTTAAAGTAAGAGTACCAACCATACTGATATTTCTGTCGATAGAGACTTTGGTAAAACACTATGGTTTTAATTAAAGTCTAGACTCTCTCCAATAATCTCAGTGAAAAGAACGGAAATCGGAAAAAATTTTAGAATGGATGTTACAGCTTTCAAGCATAAGTGTCTTCTTTCCTTCTAGTCATACTACAAGAGGATTGGTCTACTTGTATCAATATTTCACCCACAATGAAAAGAAATGAGCTAGCTAAGAAGATGCTACTTCAAATTAAACAAACTCCTGTCCGGCTGACTTCTGGAAAATACTAACGCCGACAAATTAAAGTGTGTTTCATTTATGGAAACCTTAAAGAAATGATAAGAGAAAAACAATTTATTGAGCATCCCTTCCAGACCGGTCTCATAAGTTATATATTATAGTCTCAAGCCAATATTTACTGACAAATAATCAAACTAAAATATGTGACAAAATGGTGTTATGACTTCTAAATTTCTCAGCTAAATGACCGTTAATTCCGTTCTAGGTGTTTGGCTTGCAAGATGACTCAACAAAACTGGTCTCATAGTATTTTAACCACAGTCAACCCGGACTTAAATGTACAGACTCAAACCCAGATGAGTTTAACAATGATGACAATAATTTGAGATTATATGGAAACGAAATGAGTCCTTCAAACTCCTACTGACGTGTTTCGTTGTATTGACTGATTGTAAGTAAGGACATCACGTATTAGTTTTCTATAAGTCACCGTATTTTAAAACTACCATACTTGTAGGAGACTGTTTGAACAAACTATACGTATTCTACCATTATAATACATAGAACAATAGCTTGTTTCTTCAACCAAAAGTTGATTAGTTCATGTGAAAGCAACAAGAAACAATGCGAATTTATTCCAGTTCACTCATATATAAGTACTTTTTTTAAACAACTGTCATTGGATATCCCAATAACCACGTTCTTTTCTATACACTGATAGCCGAACTGAGACTGTTATGTAATATTTCGTCTTGAAATCTAGCCCTAACCTTCATAGGTTCTATATAGTTCTGCCTAATCCCATAAAGAAACACTATCATCGCCACTGAAACTTCAAAACTAAAGACTCTTTGTTTTACACGGAACACAAAGTAATGCAGAAAAAGGCTGGCGAACCACTGGTATGTGCGAAATTAGAAGAACACGTAGTAGATTCTTGTAGTTTGTCTCTTCATCTGTGTAAAGCGTGATATTTTAATTTATGTGGCTTGAGTCTCCAAGTTACAGGTTAAATTCAGACTTCCGTATTTTTTCCGTTTAATAATAATAATTAATTAATATTAATTAATTAATAATGCGCATTGTACTTGCTGGAATAGCACGTGAATGAGACCACCAACCATCTAGACTAACCAGTTTACAACAAAATAGGTATTTCTCAATTTCTAAACCAGTATAATTTCTTTACATAATGCAATTCTTAACAATCCCACATATTTATCAGTTGTTAGTTTACTTGCCGATAGTTTTCAAAACACCTGATTATAAATGAAGGACTAATTTTGTGATGTATCATTAGTGAAATTGCATTTTCAAAGTTATTCTGAGTAAGCTCATTTTTAAAAAGCTACTCATGACAGCTGAAACAAATGATTCTAGTCCCTAACTCAAGATACCGAAGATAATCAATCTTTATTGCTTTTAAATAATGTATTTTCATTTGAAGGACAAATGTCTAGGACACCTATCAAAAGAAGGGAAAGAACAAGAGGACGGAATTTAATTATTTTTTTTCTCAATTTTTTTGAAGATGAATAGAATCCAGTCCCTGTAAGCAGCAATAAACTGGATAATTGATTGCAGAAATATATTTTTTTGTAATTTAATCAGATAATGTTCTGCTTTTTTAAATTTCTACCTGTCCTAAAGATATCCATCTAGACTGATAAATTAGCCCTTAGATACCGTATATGCTTACTACTGTTCACTTCTTTTGGACAGGAACAGGTTACATACACTGTTAGATATAAATGTGACCGATGTGAATAATTTCAAGAATAAAGCCGTTATAAAAATGGACAAGACTTACGTGAATGGATGATTTCATAAAGTCTTTTATAGGTTGAATTACAAGTCCGCATATTGCATAACCCCAGGACCACATTATGTCCAAAATGCACTAATTATTTTGTTATTCTTAGTAAAATATCCAACATATTAGACTCATACAGGGGAAAGTTATTACAATTGTACAGGTAATACATGTTTAAAATATGTCTTTCTTAGTAAATAAATACTGCTGTTAGTTTATTAGTAAGCTAAATACCTTATTATTTTACCCAGTTGGTACAAAAATTTATGATTGGTGCATACTGTTTAACCAATCAACAGTAAAAAGAAAATTTGTTCATTTTCCAAACAGCCATTAAACATATTTTTCACTGTATTTAGTTTATTAAGATTTAGTTTAAATATGTATACAAGCATTAATAACTATAATAATTGCCAGCAGTAATTGTACAATGTCCGGTTGTTACTTGCTTTCTTTGTTTCCGTTGTGTTCCCGAGTGGAATACAGGCCTTCAAGCTTCAGCTTTGAATTTTTAGTAGCACTGGTGTTATTCTTTTTTACCGAGTGTAGTTGCTATTCTCCCTCTTAACCTCCCCTTTTTGCCGGCCTAACTACCTAACCTAAGCGTGATTAAGAAGTACGCCGGTTGAGGATCGAACCATGGACCGTGTGTGTGGTTAACAAGAACTCCACTAGTGAACCACCTTCGTATAAACCAGAGAGTGCTGGACATTTGTTTTGTCTTGGTTTAGGACTCTTCACTAGTACGCACACAATGAGGTTTGAACTCAAGATGTCCCGATCACAAGGTAAGCTCGTAGGATATTCAGTCAGTGGGGTCCCGTCCTTTGTTTAAACAGTTAACTTCCTGGGAACTGCAATGCCCATCTGATTTGCATAGTCTTGCTTACTGTTTAATACTGATTTCTCTCATCTGACTTATAGTGCTTATTATTATCATCATTTCAGGAATAGAAAAAGTTTTCGACCTCATTTTTACCAACACATTCCTAGTGATTTAAGGCTAAGAAAGTCAACTATTGTACAGTAATCCAACTTGATGCCGTATGTGAGATAATGCACACAATTTAAACAGTTCCAGCATGTTCAAGGTAATCGGTAAACAGAATGAATAGAGCTCATTTCATTGTTTCTTGCTTTAACCATGTCGTTAGCTAAGTTAAATTTCTCGCCAGTGTTATCCATTCGGTCAATATCTGTCAGAGATATTCTAAACTTGATTAAATCATCCTTAATGCTTTCTGTCTTATACATGGTATAGTAATGACGCAAAATAATAAAAATGATAAGTTTAGTTCACGGAATCATGATTATTAAGTATATTGGATGCTATTTAGAAATGTATCTCATATTTTCGTTAAGAAAATATTCGAAGAAAGAGTTATACGAAAATGTTCAGATAACTAAACTTAATGTGCCTAACAGGCATTTAGCTTGATAATATCAAATTCTAAAAAGTACATATTATTGGTCAAATATACAACTATGTGTGAATATCTAGATGACACAAGAAAATATGTATTCCTCACTCACTGTATCTCCGACTCTCACGCATCACTGAATATTTCATTTCTCAATTGATAAAAAGTTGCTCATAAATTCTAAGATCTGAAGAGAGGAGAAGGAGAGAGTTCAGTGAGCCAAAGAAAGCCCTAGCTACACTTTCTTTAAGTTGCTTCTTCACTTCAGTCCTTATTTCAACCACTTAATTTGCTGATGTAACACAGTGGCTATTTTTACTTTATAAAAATGAAAAAATGACATGATTTACAAATTTTCTATAGTTTGGTTTGTAAGGATTAGTTATGTTTTTACGAGTTGATCACGGATTTATATCAGTTAGATAACCATTGAAAACCAGCACTGGAGTACTGGACAGCTGTTTCATCCTGGTTTGGGGATCATCGGCAGTACGCACCCACTGGGGTTCAAACGAGGGACCTCCCACTTACAAGACAAGCTCTTATACCATTCAGCCACTGGGACCCGATTCAATGGCTCATGAATTCTAACTTCTAACAATTCGTGATTTCGCGCGACCCCAACGATTTTAGTAGGTGGGACATCCATCCACACATGTGACATCTAATTGGACCTCACAGATTTACTTACTCACCACTTATTCAAACTTTCAAGTAGGTGGAAACATCTTTATCTCTATACTTTCTGGAATTAAAAAAAAACATTCCACACTGAAATTCAATGTGTCCTTTATTCAGTATGTGCAACGTTTAAAGGAAAATGATGTATGTACATTATCACGGATCTCATTAATTATAATAGCATGGTGCGAGGTGTTATTAAGATGTAATTCAATCATAAGGTCATATATCCAATCATATAATTAGATGTGATTAGGTGAAATCTTGATGCTTTCTCCATTCATCGACCTAATACTGTCACTGATTTATAGAAAAATTCAAAATCATTTTCCTCTGCATTGTTCAATAGCTTTATGGAATTTTATTGCCAAGCTGATCGCCGTTAAATAATCTCGAAAAAGGATGTGCTTGATTTTTTGCTTTAACGGGACAAGATGAAGGCATAATGCTTATCTCTGTCTATTTCAGATAGTTTTGTCTCAAGTAGTTTCGAATAAATTTTTAAAAAACACATTATGAAAATTCTGGAATGAATGAAAATAAACAAAGAAAGCCATTCTTAAATCTGCAGATGTGGAAACCTTTAATTCGATTGCGTATAAGTCGTAATGCATTCTGTTATTTTTCATAACATACTGCATACATTTAATCGAAATTTTGGTATGACATCCTTCAGGTAGGTCAGACATTTTGTGTAATTCTCAGATGACAGAAAATAATTTGCATTTAGCCTGAACGGAAATTTATGCTTGAAACAGAAAATCTACAACAAATCATTATTATTTCATCAGATTTAAATGATAAAAGCTTGTGTTGTGAAGTATGTAGACTGCGGAAAAATATCACCTTGTCACAGGCTAGGAAAAGTGTAATATTTAAATATGCTTAAATTTCAAGAACATTAAAGTACACTTCACAGTAAAACGTTTCAGTTAATAATAACCAACATTCATGATTTTTATACATATTGTGATTCATGAAATTTAAAGAGTTCAACAGACTTATTCCTTTTTCCGTTACTTTTGGTCTTAATAAAAGATATGAAGGAACGTAAATTAAAACAGTACCATTGTTATAACGAAATGACCTCATATAAAGAACCACAAAAGTTCAAAGGGTACTGAACAGCTGCTTTGCTCTTGTCTGAGACTCGTCGGCAGTTCACAACCATGATCTCCCGGGGTTTGAGTCGAGGACCTTCAGGTGACAACGTGAACTCAATTACCACTCTGCTACCATGAAGAAGTCCAATAACCCACCAGTTCTAACTTCTAACAGCTTACGATATAATATCACCTCTATCTGGTGGCCGAATGGTATGCCAGTGTGCCTTGTAACCAGAAGGTCCTGGGTCCGATACCTGATGAAGTCTTGGGTGCCCATTGTCGAATAGTTTTAAACAATGACAAAGTGGCTGTGCAGTACCCTCTGGATTTCAGTGGTTCTCAAACTGAAGTCACTTAGTGATAAAAACTGAAATAAATCCATTCCCTGCAAACCAACACTAAAAAACATTATAGTTACAGAGATTATTATTTAAAAATTCCCGTTGAGTCATAAAAAACGACGTTCAGAGAAGAGTTACTATTTTCCCCAATATCGACGAATTTCTTTTTTATTATTTATTATTCTTCCCTCTGGTTCTGGGTGGAATATGATACTTCAACAATACGTCTCAACTTTGTCATATTTTCAGCGGTCCTCTGTATCCAATCTTAAGATTACCAATAGTCTCTGATCTCCTCCTGTCACAACCACCTCCATGTCACCTTCAAACGCTCAGCTGGCCATTTTCCATTCGGGTTCCACTTCTGTACTGGCCTGCATTGCGCACGATGACATTCGACAGTCTCCTCAGTGTATGCCCAGTCTATCTCCACTACATTCCGCATATTTGTTGAGCGATAGGTTCATGGTTGATTTACCCACACAGTTTCTTGTTGCTGCCGGCCAGGGTGCCTGCCATTTGATCTTCAGTGCAGAGTCAGCGAAAGCGTCTGTTGATGAACGTCTGTAACAGGCTGTTGGAAATGCTTTCTGTAACAAAAATGGCGAGTTCATGACTTAGAAAGAAGAACTGACCGACATAACTTCAGTGCTGAAAATCCGAATCTTCTTCTTTATGCTGAGTTAGAGTAGAAGATTTCAAAACCGATTTCACAGTGATGAAAATGGATCTTGCCCGTCCGATTTTCGCCTGCTTCAAAATCTTCACCAATGTTGTCTGTAGCTGAAACGATGCTGGATGCCAAGATAAGTGAAGGAAGCAACCTCTGAAAAATTATTCCACTGATATTGAAAGGTGGATGCTTATTGGTGTTGCTCTTGGTTGGTTAGTTGGTTAATTGGTTGGGTACCTTTATCACCTTCGTCGTCCCCATGTTCACTCGAAGTCCCGTCTTCGCTGACAGCCTCTTCTACCAGCTTGTTGGTTTTCATCTGTACATCTCCCAATTCATGTGACATAAAACGTAAGTCGTTCACTGGGCCTAGATGTTCTAGAGTCTTCCCATCGGTGGTCCAGTTTATTCCTGTCTTCTCGCTCTCCACATTTTGTTGAAGGACGCAGTCCACCTCGGTCAGGATTATCATCGGTGGTAGTAGACAGCCTTCTCTTACAACCACTCACTGTCTTCACTTCGAAGGCCTCAGTGATTTTTCCCTTGTGGATCACCTGACCCTAACACGTGGTGTTGTCATATAGCCAGCTAGTGATCGCGGTTGATAAAGATTTGGGTCAATCAACTCCGTAGTATTGAAATAGTCTCCAAATTAATTCATTGTCAACGCCGTCTGGTGAAGGCCACTTCGAAGTCGGTGAAGTTTTGTTAGAGGTTTGACTGACATCCGATGCTCTGTTCGATCATGATGAAGCACAAAGTTGGAATTTGATCCACACATGATTTGCCTTTCCTGAATTCATCTTGTTCCGGCTGGCGGAGTTCTG